AAAATGTACTTATAGTCTTTACTTTTTACGTCATTTTAATTCCTTGAAATTAATTAGTGCCTTTTAATTAATATAAATTAAATGGAAGTCTTAGTCAGATTCTAGCGTCAGGAATTGTTACATATTTTTAGTGTCAACTTCGTAGGATTAAATGCCATAAAAAAAAACAAAAATTTAAGAAATGCAACCTTATCTAACGTGCTCTAAGAAAAAAAGGAATGATAGATTAAACTTTGCTGATTACATGAAGCAACTATCTTCTGAGGGGACCGGAGCTTATCTGCTTGAAAATTACTGCCGACGCGGCAACTCGCCGCGAAAGCGTTTCATCCAATGTCGCCTTCGTACCCGAGTAAACTCCTAATGATCGCACTCCGTGATTCGTCCACAATCTTGTATAAATACGCGCACACGCTTACTTCCGTATGCTGTGACTTTGTATGTACGTATCTCTAGCTAGGCGAACATACGTGCAAGCACAGAAACTGTCCTCGACTTCATTTTGTTCGTACACTCGCTCGTACAGAGGTGACCACGTGCTCCAGAGATTCGTTGAATTTCCGCGCGTTCCGTTCACTTACTGAAGAAAACACCCGTCACTCTGTCTTATTGAACTATCTCACCATCTTTTCCTTCGTCTCTTCGCATATCCTTCCTTTCCCTCTAGTTATATCTGATTAAAATTTCGTACCATAACTGGTATTTATATAAAATTTCCTGACTCTTCTCTGCTTAACGTTACGAGACATTGCGCGAGACAGAGAGGAGTAAAAAATGTATCAGGTATAACATGCCATTTTTATAAATGGAGGAACGTATATTTTTCTTTGGTCGAGTTCTCTTGCTACTTTACCTCGACAAATAATCATTATGCCTTCGATACACACGTACAACGTTCTGACATCAATTCGCTAGGTTGATCGAATTGTCAATGAGATGTTTTCAAAGAACGGAGGAACATCGGTAGAGAGTATTGTGCTCGAGCGCTTCAATTTCAATTCTTCTACGTATACAAAGCGACAAGAGTTCTGCACATACACGATCAAATGTTTCGATTTAAATATATTTAGTGACCGTAAAAAATTGCTTTGTGGATGGTATCGCTTGTTACGTGAACTTGTACGAAGGAAAAGAGGGAACATATAGATTATTACAGAGAGGAAGGGAGAGATCTCTCAAATATTATCGCACATTCTATATTGCATACGCCGTCAGGATATTGTCTCAATTTTACATGACAATACTTTTGTACTTTCGGAGAGATGAAACATATAATATTGAAAACGTTTTGGCGTGAAGTATTTAAATTGCCTTGATATTTAAATTTACCTTTCTCATCCCTATTTATTACGTTTCACTGTATCATATGACCTACCATAATAGTTTTCTAACCCGATATGATTGAACACGGATAAAGTACAATCCTGTCAGCGCGGTGGAATAGCCCGAATGATCTCTCAACAAGATCCATCCAAGGAACAGAGCTATGGTGAGAGGACGTTGTACCAAGTGATCCAATTTCCAATTCCATTAGAAGGTAAGCAACGCAGGAAGCTCCGTACACACACACAAGGCAACTTCAATTGCATTCTACGGCTCAGCAGGCGTTGTAAAGAGCATTGGTTGAAATATCAGATGTGAAAATGAACATCCATATTAACTGTGTTTATGTCCTGAGCGTTCAAATCGTAGAACCAAAAAGTAGACGATATTAAAGCGATGGTGAATTTTTTTTAACATTGTAGCTTAAAATTTATGATGTTAAGTCCACATCATGTTGGTATATATCAACACGATGAAAATTATATAATTATAATATAATGTTAAATATGTACTCATATTCTCTTTAGTACATTATGATATTATAAAAGTATTATTATGGCATTATAATAGTATTATACAGTTTTACAGTTATTAATATGATATTATTATTAGTATTATGGGATTATGGTATTATAAAATTTTTTTTCAATATTTTGCATTGCTATTTTCTGTCCATGTATTGTGTAACATTCTCCTGTATATATACAATCAGGATTGGAAAAGTTATTATAAAAATATTGTTGCCATTTACTGTTCTTTTTTTCTGAAAAATAATTCATTATTATTACTCGCACTCACACACGTCAATAATTAAAAAAAGTTAACCTGTTACCATCATCATTAGTCAAAAACTGAGAAGTCATAGTTCCATTACTTTTTAATGACTTTTTTTTTTAAATATCATACAATTGGCTATGTCGCTAGTGGATCATTTTAACAAAAGATTTATAGTAGTCATGGTTAATCACGTATGTGTACAAAGTAATAATAAAAATAATGATCATATTCCCCGTTATTCAAAAACTGCGTTAATGTTACAAATAAGGAAAAGTAACGTTATCCATTTATTACTGAAAAACATTGTAACGGTAACGACGTTACTCTTCTCAATTCTGTATAAAAAATATCTATATTTATTCGCAACATAGGTAATCTTTATAGAATTAAAATATTAATATAATGTTTGATATATATAAATGAATTGCTAATTTTTCTTGCTATAAATTTCTTTATAAATTTTGAACAACGTTTGAGACATAAGATTATTTTTTTCTGTTTGGAAAAAATATTAGTTAGTGTGTCAATTGTTGAAAAAATAATATAAAATTTCGATATTTTATATCAGGTTTTATTCAATCTATGTTATTATAACACGATTCTCTCACGTATAAAAAAAACGTTCCCTCTGTTTTATTAAACAGAATTTATCACGAATTGACAGTGTTTAACATGCAAAGCAATCTTCATATTGTGGAAATGGAGAGATATTCAATATCTCTTGTTATGGTGTGAATCGGATGAGGTGGATGAACGGCACTTGGACAAGATCTATCTAAGTCCCGATGCGAGATGCGAAAGAGCATTGTGCGCGAGTGATCCAATTTCCAATCCCATTGCAGTATAAACAAGGTATGAAGCCACGCGATACCAATAACACGGATCGTATACCTCTTTGCGCGCTCTCCCATAACTTCTTACGACATTACGAATATATGGCTTTAGATATTGTTCCTGTTTCCAAAGAATTCTTTTTTTCTTAAGACATTTAAGATAAAAAATTTATCATTCTCATATTCTACCATATAAAATTCATTAATGATACTGAAGACAGTTAATTAATAAGTAAAAGCGTTGATCTCATACTTGAGTTTTTAGATAGTTATTTTATTAGGAAGTTTTGTGATATGTTACAACTAAAATAAAATCAAATTTATGTTTACAACCATACTCGATGAATCGTATTTTAGTAATTAAATTATAATGAATTAAAAACATATTTTTGCTCACAATAACATCTAGTTTTTTTCGATTTCATTTAGAAAGTTATGCTTCGTTCGTGTTCATTCGACCGTCAGCGCTCCATGTTCCGCAACGCTCGACAAACGAAGCTAATTCCAATAATCTGCTACAAACGGGTATCCGCATCGAACGTGAATGACAAACGATTTTTCTATAATTGTTTAAAATTGGGATATTCGCAAATAATATTGCGCGCACACTTATAACGGTTTTATTAATTTTTTTATCGTAAAAGAGAAAGAACATTCAGACTTGAAAATAAACGCCTCATTCTCATCGTTAATTTATCTTTATCCAATATCAACTCTCATATCAACGCTTATATAGTAGAAATTAGTTATATGATGGCTTTTATTATGGAGAAGCAGTAATATTATAGCTTTCTTTAAGTATCAATAAATATTCTGGAGTAATAAAAGTCATTTACTGCCTTAGTTTCCACATCAAGTATAAATACGTATATATGTCTTAAAATACAATCATATAATTTTATTTGTAGTAGATAACCTTCAACGAAACATACATGAGGAGAACAATTTTGTTGAAATATCTAAAAATTTAGCTATAGGCGTAGATCTGAAAATACTTATATAAATAACTTATATAAACTTGACGAATAATGCTGCAAAAAGTTTTCACATTTTAGTAACTAATTTGAACGTATTTTTAAAACTATATTTAGTTAAATTTTTAGACACTTCAGCGAAACCATCTTTTCCGTATGTAGTGCACGATTTAAAGATAACAGAATATATATGTATGTGTGTGTGTGTGTGTGTGTGTGTGTGTGTGTGTGTGTGTGTGTGTGTGTGTGTGTGTGTGTATGCATATAAAAGAAGTACACTAAAAGAACGATTTTGCTGAAGTATGTAAAAATTTAATTAGATACCGATCTGAAAATAATTTTGTTGAATCATCAAAATAATTATGTAGGAAATTCGAGCATATGATGAACAAAGCTGTAAAAAATTTTGAATCTAGCAACTAGATTAAATCTCCTGTGATTTTATATAATTATAATATTTTGGTAGTCTAATAAAATTATTTCATTTATTTTTAGATTTGTTTTTAACTATAAATTTTGTAGATATTTTAGCAAAACCATTCTTTCTTTGTAAGTATATGAAAAAAACAGCTTTTAGCTAAAGTAAATTCAGTTAAATATAGTTTTGAACATAATTTTACTGCATTCGAAATAATTATACAGGACGCTTAAGCTGAGTTACTAAAAGCTGAGTTAAAAACTTTTTGCAGCCTTGTTATCAATGTTGAAACATTCGACATAATTATTTCGCTGAACAAAATTATTTTTAGATCTTTCTAACTAAATTTTTAGATATTACAATAAAACCATTCATGCAATATAGGAATATTTGGTATAAATACAGAATATTTGATTAATCGATACATCAAATTAAATATCGAAATAATAGTAATCATTGGTTATAGGGTCGATAGGCGGGCAAGGGAAATAAACATTTCTCAGCCAGTTGTCAGAAGCACTAGCGTCTCTCTCGACCAGCAGTACTCTCACGCTGCTTTGCGAGTTAATAGCCCGTACTTTCAGCCCGTAACTCCAGAGGCGATCTAGATAAAGCTGCTTTATGAAGCCAACAGCCATACACCGTTGCTCCGCAGTCAGTTGCATAACGCGCGACCGTCGTGCGTCGTGATGTCGAGTGCTCGTCCCAACAATACCTACGACCGAACGGTGGTGCGTTTTGCATTCCTCATCTTCCCGCTGGTACACGAGCTCTCACAGTCGCTTGCACATCCACCGGGTCAACTTAGGCGCGACCGCCAGGCACTTGAAATATTTTCTGCCTCGGATTGCTCTACCTCAGCTCTACCATAAATTTTATAGCAGCAGGAACACACTGGGACGTCGCGTCGGTATGCACGAAAAAGAATTTCGAATTCGCAAAATATTTGGAGAAACGTGAGTCGCCATGAGAGAAGACACTTTTAGGCGCACTTTACGCTTTGCTACATATTTTTATTCGCGAAACCGTCAACTCCGTTGTATACTGTGATTTACAGAGGAATTATTAAACCATATAACGCAAACAAGACCAAGTGTTAAAAATCAAAATGTAGCCACGAACCTAACTGTAAACCATATATACGCTGGTAGTTATTAAGTGTATTTCTCTGGCGTAGAATTAAATAAAAACTTTTCATAAATTTTTGTGTGTGTGTGTGTGTGTGTGTGTGTGTGTGTGTGTGGTGTGTGTGTGAAATGTATCACTACGAAGGAAACATGTATTGCGGCTTCTGTACGTGTATGAAATTTTCAAATATAGTTTCACAATATGGCTTATAGATCGCTACATTTTTTCGTTTCGTCATCATTCTTTAACTGAAATATGTCACTATATGAGTATTTCATATTCGTTTAATGTTCTATTAAAAAATAGTTTCACAGGCAAAGCAAATCGAAATATCTTTTCGATTTTTTCCATTTTACCATGGCACTATAAATAATACTGTCCGATAAAGTGACCATTTTTTTTGCAATACGAGTGTAAATAGTCATTTCCATTACATTTTCGTTTATTGAATATGAATCCGTTGACCAAATTTGATTATTATATCCATATATATATATATATATATATATATATATATACATATGTTATTTATATTATATTATATTTTATATTATATTATATTTTGTTTTTCTATATAATTCACGGAAAAAAACATTTTGTCCCGATTTAATTGAATCATATTAAATAAATGTAATATGAAATTGATAAAACACAATATGTGGAATAGCAGGAAGATTATAATCTCAAAGCTATACTGAATTTCACATTGCTTTTTGATTGAATATGATCCGATTACATTATGTAAGTATAAAAGCACTTACTTTCCACATAATATAGTATCAAAATGGAACAATATGTCTTTTCCATGTATTATATGGGAAAAGAGTTATTTTCAAACTGCTACATCTCGAAAATAAAATATCATGTTGAAACAAAATAAAATCTTACATCTAAAGGTTGATACTTTTACATAGGATTAACAAAATTTAGAAAAAATTTTGCTACAATGTTATAAAAATCTTTAAAATCCTATCATTTTTTGTTTCTTTGATGTTATTTTTTTTTAAATTGTGACGTCATAGTCTTTTGCCAATGGATTCGTATTCAAGCGGACAAAAATACATCAAAAATAATTATTCATACTCGTGTCGAAAAATAATTAGTATAATCAATATGAATTTATCTGTTTTTTATTGTTACGATAAAATAATACGATTAGCTAGTACTATGTATATCGTAATAATAACGTTGATTCATCTAAGGTCACGATACTCTCAAAGTCTTTTTGTAATTATATGCCAGTTTATGCATCGGGGAGGCACAGCAAAAAATTGCAGTCATTATACCGACCCATTCTCTTTCATTGACCGCTTTCGATCCCTCGTATCTAGACGCTCTCGTTTCCGCCACGCTCGGATTTGCCTATTATTTTGGTAATTGCAATTGCACCATGCATGCAAGCCTTTTGGCTTCTATTCCATGCTACAGATTGAATGCGCAATAGTGAATAAACCTCATTTAGTTTAATCTATAGCATCGAGAGGTAGCGCCGGAGCCGGTGTATAATAGACGTGAATATGAATCCGGTTTTCTCTAACGAAGAACGAATTGATGAAGACCGATGATGATTTACGTATATCGTAAGTAAATGGAGAGTGAATGAAAATCGAAGAGAGCGAGAGCGAAACAATACGCGAATAGATAAAAGTAATTTGATGAGCAATGGGAGAGGATGAAATGAAGACATCGCATCGCGGAAAATCCTGCGTGAAATGGACGTGAGATAAATCGAGTCTCTGCATTGTTGGCATACGGATAACGACGTAACACGTGATGGCGAGTTTGCAACGTGTACACACGATATGCAAAATCATGTAAACAGAATATTTTCGAAAAAAGAAAAGAGAGAAATGTTTCAAGGGAAAACTGAAATTAGCGCTTTTTCTCTTTTTTAATGGATGAAAATAATTGGAACATGCAAAAGGAATACGGAATATATTTTCAAAACAATTTATTAAGTCATTTCCTATCGTATTGTATGTATAGATTTCAAATCGAACCTGCAATTTTATTATTTTAAGTATATTACGTTTTTGAAAGTTAGTGTAACTTAAATTTCAATATGATATGTTTACAATGTCGGAGCCTGTATTTTTCAGCATATTTTACATGTGATGAATGCGTTAAATACCACTGTTATAATCGCTAAAGAGATAAATTTATGTTGCTTTATCTTTTTTCCATCTTTTTATGCAACATATTTTATACAGGCATTTTTAATTAAAATAGTGAGACATTACAACTCGCATAATCATAATACCGCAAAAGGGTCCTTCCTTCATGAAACATTACATTCTGAAGATATCACGGACTTTTGATGATAAAAAGTTGACTCCTCGCCGAGAAAGTTTTGCTGAAGAAAGAGGTGCTGATTCCACGTTGCACCGGCGAATTTCTACCGTAATCATATTTTAACTTTTCGGAACGGATTTATGTCGAAGAGCTTCTCTTTCCACGAGACTTTATTCGCGTCGATACTTCATAATTACAGGGAGACAATAAACGTTGATCGAGAAGAGCATTTTAATTTGATCCGCGAAACCCGATAAATTTTATGATCCTCGTTAATATGTCGAGTACTTCGTAACATTTGCGGGTTTTCTGGATTGTTAACAAATTAATTTTACTTTACCAGAGAGAGAATAGTAGACCTTGAAGTAGATTCTAAAGAATCCTTTTATATGCACTTTTGCGGTTGCCCCGAATAGAGCGCTAAAAATGTGTAATGAAGAGAATTTATTCACACAAAAATCATATTTAAATAACGGTTTATTTCGTTGCAAATTTTAGATAATTTTAGATTGTATAAATACTATTTTCTGTTAAATTAATGAAACAAGAAGACAAGTAAATTTATCTGTTATGTACGAGTATTTAATTAATGAAAATGAAGCTTGTGACAGACAAGCTGTAAGAATATTTATGTACAATTATTTGTCAAATGATGCTGCAAAATTTAATATTGCACTTGGAAATGTTACTGCATTACCTCTTAACATCGAAAGCATTAAAGAGTCATACGCATATACATATGAAAAACGTTCAAACGTATTGTCGCCTTTCACATTTGGTCGATCGAGTCATGGTAAGCTGGGATCAGCTCGTGACGTTGATCCCCTTTTATTCCGTGAAACATGCACATCATAGCAATTCGGCCTATAGGTGACCACCCGCCTATCCAGTCAATAGGTTTGTACCATCCATTAGGTAATGTCAGGTTTAATCTCTTCGAAATGTTCGCTTGAATTAGTGACCGTGGGACGCGTCGCTACAACGCGCTTTTATGGATCTTTCCGGATCATTCTCGTCAACGGCGACGATGCATCAGACTTGGCTTATTTAATAAAGTTTCATTCTCTCGCGAGACGTCAAATTGTCAAATCATCGCGTCGCAACAACAGACAACTGTATGGAATAAAAAAGAAATTTACCGGAGTTGTTTTTAATAATAAATGTAAATTTGAATTGAGCAGAAAAACAAGCAATCTTAGATTTCATTATTTGATCTCGGCTATTCCTTCGTTGTTTGAAGTTGTTTATATATTCGTCCGAAGATTGTTTTTTATTTCTTTCATCTTTTATGAAACTCATGTGTACCAGAAAAACAAATCCAGTCTTGTATCAGACGTTAAGAGAGAATGTCTATATATAATGATAAAGTGATTTAAAAGTGGCAAAAAGAACACAGCTTAGTATTAAAATTCGTAATATGTATGTAATTTTGTTATTGTTTTAAATTTAAGCTCCTCTCAAATAGCGCACATTCAATATGTCTATGTCAATCTTTTTAATAAAACAACATCTGCAAAAAAAACATGGTTCTATCAAAAAATTACAAGGTACTCCAACTTTTGAGCGGTAGTGTATATTTTTCTATCGCTTCCTATCGTACTCCACAGAATCTTTAATAAAATGAAATATAACTTGGAGTACTCACGGGGGAAGCTGAAGTGCTAAAATTGAAATTGACTAGCCGCATGTCTATGTATGCCATTTAATGTCGCTTGACTGGCGTCGCGAGGATTTCCCAGCCGTCCTCGCGTTACTAAACGCTGTTACGAGATACCAAGTGCAGATATATTACACATCATGTCGGACGCCACGCAAAACGAATGGGCTCCGCTTACTGTAACCGAGATATTTAAATGTACATGTCCTACACATATAGTTCTTTTGTACGCGACTAAAGGCTTTCAACGTATTGAGCGATTCTTAAATGAATTTATAGAAATAGTTTGATTTACAATTTGATACACGACTTTGATACACTGCTATCGTGCGTAGACCTTTACAGAAATGAATTTAAACTGGATGAATTTGAACTGGATATTACTTATTTTGAGCAACTCTTAGTATATGCAATTGGGTTACTCATGTCTTGTGTATATGTTTTTTTTAATACTAGAAGCATCTGACCAAATAACACCTTTTATTTCCTTTTTTTAATATATTGTACAACTTTACAAATATTTTCTAAAGATGTTAAAGTATGTGTAAGAATCACTTAATCATTTTTGTAGACAGAGAGAAAAAATTTGCTGTAAACGCAAAAGACATTACAATTTAATTGTTAAATTTATTTGCTGTTTATAGCATATTTGACAAATATTGTGCAATTGTTAGAAATAATTTTTGCAAATACAAAAAAAGAATAAATATTTATATTTACAAATAGTTTGCGATTTCTGTATATGCAAATAAATTTGCCGTTATGGCATAGAATTAACATTTATAACAAATTTTTTTTGTCTATATATATTTGTAAAAGTAAAAAAAATTTAC